AGGAGAAATATCTGAGCACAGTGTGTGATGTTGTTGAGATCTCTTTAAAAGCTTTAAAGGAGACCATTGTGAGATTAGAGTTTTTGTCTCAGGAGACAAGTTTGAGAAGCAGGAGACTCAAGCAAAAATCTCCATTCGATCTTAAAGTAACCTCATTTCTGTCTAGGAGAAATATTTGAAATGTTAAAGAGATCTCACTTTTGATTTTTCTTTCCTATGGGAAGGGTGCAGGGTGTTACCGTCTCATTTGTGCATGATTGGAACACAGTACACAAATTTACGTCACTGCCACATTATTTTGAATTACAATGGTACCTTGATAACATACACAGCAAAATTCATGGGATAGTTCAACTAAAAAAGAAAATTCTGTCATCATTTACTAACCCTCATGTTGTGCTTGGAACACAAAAGAAGATCATTAATTCGTTTAATATATTTAATTTAGAATTTAATACATTTAAATTCATTTAATAAATATTTAAATTAATAAAAAAATACATTTTTCTAAATTCTCATCTTTATCAACACAGATGGGTCACATGGGTCTTAAATGATTACAGAATTTTTGGGTGAAGTATCTGTTTTAAGCAAGACTTTTCAGACCAGATTTTGTAGACCAAACTCTACTGTACTTTTTGCATTAGGACCCAAATTTTACATTGACCCAACAAGTGCTACAAAAGTTAAGAAAAATATCCTTAAAATGACAATTATTTTTTTATGGAATATTGCAGTGTTTATTATAAATTATTTATCCGTGTGCATAATTTAAAAAAAAAATAATATGTCCTCTTAATCTTTAATCAAAAACATTACTGTCCCCTCTCCCTCGCAACAGCACCTCTTCTCTGATGACTTGCACCGGCACGAGGGCGGGACAACAATCCAGCAACCTGTCACTCAAATGAGATCGCAGCAATTAGTACACGACTATAATCCAATCAATCCCTGAAGGACAAAAACTTTTTCTTCTTTTCTGTTTCATGGCCACATTATTATCATTCAGTGCACAAACCTAGCAGTGTGAATAGTTTGGGTTGATTAGATTCATGATTCACAGGTTTTCAATTCAATTCAAAAGCCATTTTGAATTTAACTCATCTGCAAATTCAAAATGATTAGTTTTGAATTAAATTTGATTAGATTTAATCATCCATTTCTCTTTTTTAAAATACATTTATG